TACTCTAGCGTCCTCACTGATGGTGCATGTGATATTACCTTGAGCTACTGGGTGACCTGGTAAGCGACAAAATACAACACATGATTAACAAAGGAATTTCAAAAAATCACATTTATTGAACCACGTGACAAGACATCAATAAGATAATCGTCTATATATACATAGCATAAATAGTGGCTGGACCCATAATATGGATGATACTCACTTGTTACGATCGTCTCTGCCCCGTCGTTTAATGTCTTTCCAACACACCCTGTCATGTCATGTTCGGTATTCAGTTCTCCTCGTACGGTACCGCCTATGTTATTATTTGGATTGTCCCTCATAATATGTGTTGGTGGGTTATTAAAGCCCCTTGCGTAATCATTTGGACGAGAATGGGGACCATCCGTTTCCTCGATTGGGCGACCTTTTTATATAATAAAATGAACATGGCGACTAGATATAACGCTATTAAATATTAATCAAAATATATTCGAACGTATCTGGTTGGCGTCGTTTCACAGCGGTGCCCAAGTTACTGTTTATTTCATCGTTTGGTTTGTAAGTTTCAATCTTAGAATACTCTCTGGCTATCGTTATGCGAGGCTGAACAGAACATCCAAATAAAATGCACGGCATTGTTTAAGGTATAATGTCAATTGTTATTTCGGTATTAGATTTATATTAGATTTTATATCAGATGAACTTACCATAGGTAAACTGTATAAGCCACTCTAACACAATACGCACATAATACAATATACTCATAACGTGTCTTCACTGAAACGCGTAGAACAAGAAGTTAACTCTTCGTCGAATATCGCTCGACTTTATATGAATTTTATTTATAAAGCACGATGTCATCGCTAAATGTGGTATTACATGTAATTGTTTTCTTATCGCTCCTCGTGGTTTGCCACATTTTTTTGTTGCTGGCCTGTTATAGAATATATTTGCGGTGTTGGTCATTACAACACATTTCAATTGTTATAAATTAGTGTGAAATAAACACACGTGATAACAACTATTGACTATACATCTAGGAAAATTTATTTTGTTGTTTGATTTAGGTTTAGCCCAAAGTTATGCAAATATGGCGTTACATTTAGGGGTTATTAGTAAGAATGTGAATTCAGACAAACTTACAAACCGTTGTTTGATATCTATGAAATTAAATGTTAAAGATTTCTCGAATTTAAAAAATTGCTATTTTGGGATATTGCCATTAAAAAAAACTTTCAAAATTGTTCCAATATATCACACTTCAAAAATAAAATTATTGATATCTTACATCTTACACCTATTTGTGTTTAATTAAGAAAAGAAGTTTTAAAAATGGGGAAACTATTGCAATGACAATCCTTATAATAACTTGTTACAGAATTATTATAAAAATTATTTACAAATAAATGTTTAAAAAAACTGGTCAAGCAGTTGTACAATATGGAAACATTCAATTAAATGATTATTGGAAGTTAGTTAATGAGTGATGAAGTACTGCATAATTAACACTTCAATTCATTAGAAAAATATTCAATCTATTGCTGATCTCAAACCATGGTGTATTGGTCACATACTCAAATCAGGTGATAGCGATGGTCACCTGAATGGCTAATATAGTAGGCGCTGTCCTGAGATGACCTTTTACCCACATGACCAAAGCCACGTACTCTGTAAACCCGGAGTAGTTTCGTCAACTATACAAAAAAGTAAATTTGTATTGTTTAAGTACAATAATTAATTCCTAGTTTTACTTGTATGTGGGGCACTGTTTTATTTATAATAGCATATAAATAGCATATAGTCGTCGGAATACACCGACGTCTTCTGTGTCAGCAGAATACACACCTGATAAATTCCATATCCACATATTAAAACCTCTAGCTGTGGTCCATAGCTCTTTTTAATAGTTATGTTTGGATTTTAGAATGAATAACAGAATAGCTAGCGACCAAATTCACCGGGAAATTAATCAAACCAATCTAGAAGTTATATAGCTGTGGGTCCATATCTCCTCTTGTGTGGGTTGGTTTTACGTCTTTGTGATGGTATTTTTTAGTAATTTTAGGTACATTAGTTGTTCTTTAAGTTGTGTGTAGATACTGAGAATGTAGCACACAGTATCACACAGTACAGAAGAGCAAAACCATAACAAACATGATATAAGCTATATAACCTCCAGCGATCAGATCAGATTCACGTTATTTGCATCACAGACTTTACAAATATTCGGATTCCATCACAGTGTATTTCACAGAGCCGTTTTACCACGTAAATAATTCTCGTATCGTTGTAACAGTTGCATTAATTTGAATTTGTAAGTGCCGTAGTTCTTATGTGGTGTTATATCCATAACTTTCGTCAACGACCGTTCACATGACTTCAGATGTTCAATATGATCGTTGATATTTGGCAAGTCCATATTATATATTTCCACATTACTGAGCAAGCACATGGAAGTGTTAATAAGTTCTAATACGATGTTGGTGAGTTCTTCGCCGGGGTTTTCTATTACGTTACATTGACTGCCAATCTGAAGTATGTCCCTCCCGCAAAAATGATATCTCCTTGGACCCTGATTAATTCTACAAGTTGAAAAACAAGTCGCTTAGAAGTTATTAAATATGCATAAAATAACATTTTAAACGATTTGAGTTGAGGGCACAATCCACAAACAAAATATATGAATCAATATCTGCCTATGGGTTCAAGGGAATGCGAAAATGTTACAATTATTGGGATCGTATGTAATACATACAATGGCATTCGTCAGCGTATAAAATACCGGAATTTGTTTGGTCTGGTGAAAATTAAATACGCGATGACCCGTTATTGTTATTTTGCTGAGGTGTTAGTTATGTTTATTTCATCTTTACCACGCACGTTTTTCATGTATTGTCTATTTCTATGCGTTGACGATTTGACGATTTTCATCATGATCTTGGTTTGTATTATCAAACTTTCTTGCTCCACAAATTTGCGGAGTTCTTGTCGCTCATTCTGACCTGGATGAATGACAGATTGACCTGTTAGGTGACAGGGGGTGTATCACGTGATACACCTACATGTTATTGTTTGCATTTCTGCATGATTATGTAACCATTCAGCTGATGTCAAACACTTATTTCCGTTAAATAAAGCTGAGAAATTTACCTACTGACTCGATTTTATCCATGATTTTGTTGGTGAATGACGTAACATCACATAGAGACACAGTGAAATATTATACACATTGGTAATGTCGTTGATATATTTCACTGTGTCTTTTGTCTTTATTTCATGATATCGCAATCCCACTTTGAATCCTGAAAACAACAGGTCAGTACAGGAATGAAAATGCTATATTATACCATATGAACGTATTATAACATGTATGTAGCGTATGTAAACCGAGAGTAAAACGTAAAAACTTACTTGCTAAACTGAATAACCAAATCGCCAAATGTTGCGCTAATTTTTTTTGTTTTATACTTTCATTGGACTTTCGACTACTGAATTTTCCGCATGAATTTATCCCTACTTTTTTTATTTTGTGTGAAGAAGTTGTCAATACAGACGAAACATCACCATTATGTATTATATGTGAAAGTATATCGAAACTCGAGACAACATGGAATACATATACAAACATAGAAATATTCATTTTATTTTATTCATCATTATTTTATTCATGTTGTTACTGCTGCTGCTGTCATTTTGGTTGTTTCTCGTGAAGTACCGTTGATGCACTCAAATTTCACTCACCACAATGCTGTACATAGTTTGTTAAATTAACATAACCTTATACATGTAGAGTTAATAACAGAGTCAGCGAACAACGCCTTTATTTTATCTTGGGGTTCGAATAGCCGGTTCTTGCCAATCAGTTTCTGTGCAGGCGCATAACGTAAACAAGTGCTGCCGTATATCCACATGCCGTGTGAGCATAGCAATGACCTTGGACATAATAATTTGTTTTTCCCAACGAGTAATAGGTATTTTAAATACTTGTAATTGACCCATTTTCTGAACGCTGTTTTCTGTCAGTGATCACAATGGTTTAAAACAACAATTATGTCTACATAACATAAAGAACATTTTGTGCAATTCACGTTTACTGTCTTCCGGCGGTCTGGGGTGGGATTTCCCCATGTTTTAAGCAACCTGGAATATTGATTGCCCCGTGAATGGGCGGATATTTGATGCAAAAATATTGAAATTCTGACGGACATCCTGTTTCGAAGAAAACTATGAAAAATGTCACATTCTCTGAAGGTAAAATCAGCTGTTACCCTGGGTTAAGTAATAATAATAATGACACTCATAGTGACCCACACCCCTGGACCTTGGTCAGTAACAACTACCTCTGTAAGGTACGGTAAAACACGTGCGTGAAAACATCACGACAACTAATATGATGACGATAACCACGTAGAAGAACATGGTGTGCTGAAAAAGTGGCGAAATTCTGATATTTCACAAGTACATCTAGACAATTCAATACATAAGTTGTGGTGTTGTTATCCCAATCTAACTTTATGTACTACATGATGTCATTCCATTGTTTTGTGTGTAATCTGACAGTATCATATTAATCATACATGACCTACATGACCCTTTGGCCGTTCAGAAGGTCCCCGGGTATTTCTAACGTCGATGCTGATATTTTTGGTCCCCGCAAAAAGTTGCTTTATTGAAATGTAGGAGAACGTCATTTGTTTTTGTGACATCACACGCAAATGAGACCTACAGCTAATACGATTCATGCATCTAACTACAGACTGTATGTGAAATACGTTCTTTTGTGTTTAATAATAATAATAATAATAATAATAATAATAATAATAATAATAATAATAATAATAATAATAATAATAATAATAATAATAATAATAATAAGGATTATGAACACTTTAAGTGTTTTTAAAGCTGGATAAGCTTTACATATTTTACTCCCACAGCAGTATTTTAAATAGAAATGTTTATGTGTTTAAGTACAAGTGTAGAAAAAAATGTGTCTAATAACATTTAAAATCTCACGCTTGCCATTTTTTTAGCAATTGCTCCTCTCATAGTATTGAGATTGTCAAATCAAATTATTTATATGATCGCGATAGTTCACTCCTTCTTCATCTATTCGTTGATCTGTACATTCATGGGGTCTGGTATAATTTCTATTCGTCATGTTAGACGCTTGTCTACATGATAATGACGGAACTTCTGCCACATTCTGCATTCGCTTATCGTGGCACTCCTCCTGTGCACACCGAACTTCAGGGCGTGGCATACGAGTGGCAGCGGAACAGTGGACATTAATGCAATCATTGACGTTTGATTCGGGGATCGAGCTGTGAGTATCACTTGCTGTAACCGCTGTTTCGGTTTCCCGTGCAACAGAGCGTACAGGCACATTCATCGTTTGATTGTTTCCTATCTGTACATTGGCATTGCCACTGACTGTGATGTTGCCACGAATAACTGGATTGCCTAGAATTCCAAATCATAAAACAACGATTATTGATTACATATAAACACACGTTCGTACTCTCAAGAATAACAACTCTGAGATGGGGGTTGACGAATGTGTTACATGTGGCTAGAAACTACATACATATAGGCACCATTATTATTTCTATTATTATCTACCATCTTCGAAATCTCTGTATGATCAGCTTTCTAATATAGCTAGTATATACACGTGTTCTTTAACCACGTCGTGAAAGCATCTTTCTACTTACTTGGCATCGCCCTGTCTGCGGCTGAAACAGCAGTCTGAAAACGAGTACCATGCACATCAGTGTTGTTATGTACGCTGGTGTCGCTCGGAATTCCACTATTTGCTTGTGTATTTGTAGTAGTGGTTTTCTTTCTTGGTACGCTCTCGTCTGCACCCTGTGCGATACCTTGAAGCTGGTTTCCCATGTTTTCCCCCAAGTTTTGATCGTTTGAATCGATCGGCAACTGCACTGGACACCTGTTACATGTATTGTATATAGTAGGTGAAATTCAGGTGATGTAACTGTCCTGCTACGGCATGAGTAGGCTAAACATACAATCCAAAGTCCACGATTACCAAAATACTTTGTGGATTTTCCTATGACAGAAAAACTATTCTATGGTAGAAGGTGTCTTAAACTATTAATTACTACTAACTCAATCTGACGCAATCGTCGTATTTTTAAACATGCACATCAGACCCAGTACATTTAAAATGTGATCACAAGCCAGACATGTATATGTTAAATGTTCAAATTCAATCGAAACGGTGGAAATAATATCACAATTCTACATAAGTAGTAGTATGTATATATATCATTTTTTTTTTACAAAAGATAATTACATATCTTATTACAACTGGTGAATATTGCAGACAATTGCTGGCCCTGGATATGTCCTAATGTACCTAATTCATACCCGGCTGTATCATTCTCCAGGTGAGTGTGCCCTCTATTCAACATTTTAAGCAGCTCTTGTTTCTGTCTGTGTTCATGTATGGGCTGGTCAAATTATATTAGTGGCTTACCAAAACACAAGACACACACACAGTACTGTTGGGCATAATGGGCAGCTTAGCCCTTTTAATCTGTAACATATGGGCTGAGAAAGAAGACACCCATTTGAAAAATTGTAGAACTACAAATGCGAAAAAAAGGAAAAGGTGCCATATGCGTACGTATACAACTAAAGAGTATTGTAGCCAGTTAGAAATCCAGGGTTGGAAAGTGGGTATCATAAGTACAGCCTGGAGAACGCATTCACAGACAACTTGCATATATTAATAAACAAAAGATATGCCAACCCGTCAACCAGTGCCATGAGAGCGCTATATAATGTAAGACAACCTAGGACAATTAGGGCGCTATCACAGAAAGGCCACTAAAGTTCTTTAACACACAGTATTAAACATACATTAGTGGCTTACCAAAACACAAGACACACACACTGTTGGGCATAATGGCCAGCTCAGTCTCAAAGCACGTAAGTATTAATGTGTATGAAGGATTGAGGAGAATTAAAGGCTAGCATGCCAATCTTTAAGACACAAAGAAAACATGGTTAAGCAAAGAAATGTATGTTGAACAGTATAAAACTTTTAATACAACAACAGCATATTGTAAAAAACTAAATTTTCGGAAAAGTAGAATAGAAGTAGTTGCCGTGGTGCCCGTATATATTGTTTGGCAGCAGTCTGGACCAAGTTTAATTTCCCAATCTGTAATATCTGAAGCGGCTGCAGTTGTAACCCCTTCACTACGAAAACTATGCCCACCGTAAATTGCCTGGGTCATGTCCAATGTCCTTAAATTTGAACTTTAAACGAGTAATGACAAATCCGCGCGTGATGGGCTCTGAAGGAAACAGTGCCAAAGTAGAATATACCCCCTTACTAATACGTAACTTATGAAAATAAGAAAGTACATGAACTGCACAGATGTGTGGGACAACCTAGTACTACATCTACACTTTAACAGTCTGATTGATGTCATAAACACGAACAATGTCTCTTCTGAAGCTGGCAAAGTTTTCCCATTAATCATTCCACAAAAATTGAAGTCAACTTGTTGGCCTAAACTGCAGGTATTTGTTGTGTTATTTAAATATGCCGTTCCAATCAGGTGACAGGCACGAATCCACCAATGGTCAGAGTTAACTGATATCAGGAAATTTACATATCAATAAATTTGCGAGACAGTGCACCAATTAGACGTAACAGTGCGGCACACTGTACATTACGTGATGTTCATTTGCTGGTCTTGTAAACCACAAAGGAATTGTCACAGTTGAAAAGAATTCACAGTGTTTTGAAGTTGTTACCACATGCATCAGCAATGCGTGCTATGACATATAGTTCACGCCAGTTAATGAAGTATTTTCAGGAGGGGTAATTGTGTACTTCATCCTTAAATTTTCCTTGAAGTGTTTTTGTCCCAAGCATAGTACTGTACGTCTAGATGAAAACTTTGCATGAGTTTTGTTTTATTATGAAGATTTTTCAATTTACTAGCCGTATCAATTATTCATCTTAAGAACGTACGGCCTACATGGCAAACATTAATGTCAAAACTGAGTTTTCCAATTTAGTCTAGTTGCGTTTCTGTGGTCAAGTTTTACTCTTTACAATCTCCTAAAGTCTTTCATCTGATATCCGTGCTTTCATTGCTTATGTGTCTAAAACTATCCCAAGGAATTCCAGGCAGGTGCTTGAAGTGCATAATTTGTTTGGGTTTACTGGAAACCCAAACTCTGAACAACAGTCGAGCATACCATTAAGAATTCCATGACACTACTTTCTATGTGCATTGTCGACAGTAATGTAGTCATCCAGATAGTGTTCCACGTTAGAAAAGAAAAATGTTTACGCACGATATACTGCATAGCATCTGTAAATTTGTTGAACAGGAATGGACTACTATGCAAGCCAAATGACAACACATAAAGTAATATGTTTTTGACTGTTCTCATCTGTCTATGTCAAGTTCCAAAGAACACCTGAGTAGCTCTCAGTTTGCTGGTCGTACTGGGATCTGATAAAAGGCATCTTCAAGGTTTACCTTTGCCAGCAGAACCCCTTGCCGGATCGAAGAACATGTTACAGTTAGTTGTTGTATAAGTACACGTGTATTGTTCTTTGCAAATACCATCATTTATGGACTGCCCTTGTGGCCGTGAGAGATCATGGATGATGCTGTACTTTCCACTGTTTATTTTAGATCGTGCTGCAAGTAGGGATGATACAAATGATGATGAGGGAGGCTCGTGCATGGGACCGGCTTTGTAACCTTTGGCCACTTTATTCAGTTTTCTTGGTAATTGCTGTTTTTACATTTTAGACACTGTTTCAGTTTTTGGAAAGAATGGGCACCTCCTCCTTGATCCAGATGAGGAGTTTTTCCGTCAGTTTTTCGTCAGGCTGGTCGTAAGTAGTTTTGGCCATTAGTCATAGTTAAAACTGCATGCATGGTTTGCTTCTACTGATGGAGTCGTTTCCACCACAGCTCATGGTCTAATTTGTTATAGCTGAAATTCCTAGTTTCTGCTAACTTGTGGCAAAACTTTATGTCATAGTTATACACACTGTGCCATTGGAACTTAGCATCGCAATTCTGGATAGTGTCGTGATATACATGTAGGGCTGGGCACAGTTCTAGATGTTGAAATACTTCCATACACTCCAAAAAATAGCCAACCACTGTGTGAAAAAAATAACTCTAGTCCTTTTAATACTGCCTCATTGGCGTCATCATGTTTATGGTAGGATAAATGGCTGGGGTATTGTATCGTTGCTAGATCAATGTACTCAACAGCAAGGAATTTCTTTGTTGTGGCTGCAGATATGTTGGCATAGCTATCAGCAGCAGCATGCAACCCTCTTGCTTGATCTTGTTGGGATGAATGGAATGGCTTGGGTGGCATTGATGGTGGTTTATCGGCTCTCTTTGTTGTGTGTGGCATGTATAGGCCGTCATCATTTTTTATGAACATTTGAATGCTGTACATCACTGACTTGTACCTCTGATGTTTTTGGACATACAGGCTTTGTTCTAATAGAGCTGTGAGCTTGTGATCTTGCCTCTGTTTCTGGTTGTTCAAAAGGGCGTGTTGAGATTGGGGTCATCAAAGGTTCCTCTCATAAAGGCCGCCATTTTATTTTGGGGTCGCGAGTTCACTCACCAGACTTCCTTGCCATCCGAAATCTCATGTGATTGGAATGTCATCTATCAAGCAGTTAGGACACTAATGTGGAGGCAAACCTTACCTGGGTCGTCAATAATGAGCCATCCCAGTTATATTTGTCTTGAAAAAATGTATCAAAAGTACAGCCTGGGAAACGCATGTACAGATAACATGTGTCGCATACGACTTATTTACCACTTCCGTGTCACTGAAAATGTTCTAGAACCGTACTGTGTCTGGGTGGAATATTCTAGATTTTTTTTTAGAAACTGGTTGAATAGGTAATAGAACACTGTAGAAGGCAATATAAGGTAATGGAACATTCTAGAAATTTATAGTAAATTCCAGACTCATTATGTATGTTGATGTAATGGTCTATTTATAGACAGTGTGGGTATATATAGGGGAGTTGTTCAGCACTGAGATCAGATCGGAGATCTCGTTGAATTGTATTGGAGTTTAAGTATCTAGTAGTGGAGTTTTACCGCGTTATTGTACTTGATGTTTGCAGAGTATAATAATACCAGTGCCAGTTGAAACCTCATCTGTTGGCTCCGTGTTCGTATTTTATCATCGCCGCCAGGGAAGTCTTTCTGTTACTGTTGCCATTTTGGTATTTGAACCATCACACCTGTACTATACCAATTACGGTAATATTACGTTGCGTGTGACAACATGCATACATGTAAGGCAATCTAGGACAATTAGGTCGCTATCACAGAAAGGCCACTATAGTCGTTTAACACACAGTATTAAATATACATCACTAATGAGTCAATTTAAGGCGCAATTCATAGTGATTTAACAAGCAGACACGTGTTATTATAAATCATGATTAAAGTCTGTTTCCAAAATCAATGCATCGTCCGAATCGCACAGTTTCGCTAAAACCGGCCATTCATAACCGGCCCACGAACCCGTGCGTGATCGTGTTAGGAAAAGCTGTAGTCACTGCAGCTAAATTGAGTCATTTGATTTGGCACGCCAAGGAGCTGGCGCCACCAATCAGAGTTACTGTATCATAAATGTGAAGATCAGGGATCATTTAATATCACATATTAAAACAATGGCGACGTGTAGGCTCTGTACTGATTCACCGGAGTCAAGAACAGAAGGTCTATATTCGTTGATACATTCCAAAATTTCTTATTCAAACATTTTAATTGTTTGTGGGCATGTGAATGAGGACAATGGAATGTCTAAATATGTGTGCAAACGTTAGTTCTGATTGGGTGAAGCAAATGAGACGAAGTGAATCTTATAATAGTTTGAGG